TATGAAAGGCCCCGGCCTGGGAGCAGGTACCGACCCGGCTATGGCACCGGCTACTTCCAGTACGGTAAGCACCCCAAGTCTCAGGAACCACCCGGGCACCCCTTCCCCAACGTGGCTGGTGGCTCCCCGACGTGGCTGCTAGGGCGCGGCAGGCCCGAGCCCCCGCAGATCCGACCCCTCCCCCTGCGCCTGCAGAGGCAGCCCTGGAATCTGGTGCAAACCGCGCGCCTGGCCCCTCCTGCTTCCTTTCCACATTGCTCTGCAGTCCCAGGCATCCCCCATTCTCCTGCGACCCGCAGCCCCACACTAAAACAGCAGTCCGGCTGGGTAGAGGTTGAGGAGTAAGAGACACGGAGGGACCAGTGGCCAGGGCAGGGGGCGCAGGGTTGTCTCACTATGCCCATCACCTGCTGACGTTTAGGTCTCCCGGACCTGGTACCAGATCCCTACTACATCCAGGCGTCCACTTACGTGCAAAAGATGTCCATGTACAACCTGAGATGCGCTGCGGAGGAAAACTGCTTGGCCAGGTATGAGCTGGGATATCAGCGGCCTCGCTCCCCTCTTGGCTCTAGGGACTCATCAGATCCCTGGTTCTGACTACTCTTGTTCCTAACAGATAAGAGCTGGGAAGTGGTACAAGACCTGGGAAGTAGGACTTGAACTCCTGGGCACGGTGACCTGGATGGAGAGAGAAAAATTTTAAGATTTCTGTGGGTTCTTTCAAACTGCAGCACAAATCAAGGAGATGGAGCCAATCCTTCTCCTAAGTGTGTCTGTGTCTGTGTGTGTGTGTGTGTGTACACTTAGGTTGTTCTCCTATCTAGGTAATTTCCTCATCTGAAAAATGGAACTATTTGATCATGTCTGCCACTACAGGACTGGTGGTGGTGGTGGGAGGTGTTGTACATGAAAGTGCGTTGTCAGCTGTGAGGGCTCTAAGCTGCAGACACATGCACAGAGTAGAAGCAGGTCCCAGAGTTGGGCCAGGGGTGGAACAGGGTTCTGTCTGTTTTCCAAGATCCTTCAACTTTGAAGCCAACTGTTTCCAATGACTTTTTATTAAACAACTAACTGTACAATAACATGGAAAATATTGTAATCAAAGAGCTTGTTAATATACCCTTAAAAGACTGGGGGCTAATTTGCCACTGAGGAACCCCTTATTGGCAAAGGTTAAGTTTTCTCCTTTTGTTTGAAGCCATAATTAACTTAGCTATTTGGGTGTTACTACAGCCAGAATAAGACTATGAACAAGAACTTTGTTTTTCCATCAGTCCTAAAATAAAATCATAGTAATAGATTTCTCTGAAGTTGCAGCTGGGAAACCAGTGGAGGGAGCTAGAGGACGTTTTGATAGGTCTCAAAAATTTTTACACTGTAAAATAAGGTCATTAGTCATCAGTAGTATTTGAATGCATAGTCACACAAAATAGTATATTAGAAGGAACACGGTAATGTTTCTTCAAATATTTCTTCCACTGTGACCCTTTATAATTTTCAGGCTAAAGGAAGAGAAGAAAATTGAAGCTCATCATTTTCATTCTTGAGTCTTGCATCATTAACACCATTGCGCTCCCTATACTATTACAGTAATGCTGTTGTTTTGAAGACAGTGAAGTTACAAAATTTGTCTAAAATTATTTGTGTACTTTTTAGAGTGATTTCCCCACTTTACATCATAGTTATTTGTTCAAGAAATGTATTGTTAAATTCAAAGTTCTTAACAGGTAAATATGGATGATTTTTTTTTAATCTGGGATAATTTCCACCTCAGTTTCACTCATTCATATGGTTAAACTTGACTTGATTATAAATATAAAGTTTACTTATCATTTGTATTTTAAAATATTTTTTATTTTTTATTTTTTTTAAATATATTTTATTGATTTTTCACAGAGAGGAAGGGAGAGAGATAGAGAGTCAGAAACATCGATGAGAGAGAAACATCAATCAGCTGCCTCCTGCACATTTCCCATTGGACATGTGCCCGCAACCCAGGTACATGCCCTTGACCGGAATCGAACCTGGGACCTTTCAGTCCGCAGGCCGCCGCTCTATCCACTGAGCCAAACCGGTTTCGGCTTAAAATATTTTTTAAATTATTGATTTCAGAGAGAAGAAGGGAGAGGGAGAGATAGAAACATCAATGATGAGAGAGAATCATTGATTGGCTGCTCCCTGCATGCCCCCTACTGGGGATCGAGCCCAAAACCCTGGCATGTGCCCTGACCAGGAATCAAACTGTGACCTCCTGGTTCATAGGTTGATGCTCAACCACTGAGCCATGCCAGCAAGACTATAATACTAATTTTATTGTTTTTATATTTACACTGAGGATTTCCATAGTTGTCATTCACTCACCCATTCAACATATATTCACAGAGCTCTGACTACTTGCCAGGCACTCTTTTAAGATCTGGAGATTCCACAATAATAAGCAAAATGCCCTGACTGTTGAACCCATAGTCTAGTTGGAGGAGTGGGAGAGTCACCATTATATACTGAAAAGGTTTTGCTTGTAATTTTCTCTTTAGTTAATAGTCTGTGAAAATAATAATGTTTCTGCCAAAACCGGTTTGGCTCAGTGGATAGAGCGTCGGCCTGCGGACTGAAGGGTCCTGGGTTCGATTCCGGTCAGGGGCGTGTACCTGGGTTGCGGGCACATCCCCAGTGGGAGATGTGCAGGAGGCAGCTAATCGATGTTTCTCTCTCATCGATGTTTCTAGCTCTCTATTTCTCTCCCTTCCTCTCTGTGAAAAATCAATAAAATATATTTTAAAAAAATAATAATAATCTTTCTTTTTTTTAAAATGACAGCTCAGCATATAGAGCAGATGTCACAGAATATGATCACAGGGTGCTGCTAAGATTTCCCCAAAGAGTGAAAAATCAAGGGACATCAGATTTCTTACCAAGCCGACCAAGATATTCCTGGGAATGGCACAGCTGTCACCAGTAAGTGAATGGGCCTCCTGGGTACTTTTGAGTTGGTTTTGTATTTTTCAAATGATTTTTACACAAAGGGAGAAAACTGCTGTCTTTCACATTTAGAATTTTTCTCTATGTAGTCTGACATAATCAATGGAATCTGTCTTTAAAATAATACATCAATTATTAGATCCTGTTATCTTTTAAATTAGAAACTCTAAGTCCAGTTTATTAAAACTGTTGATAGGGTTCAGTGATTGGATTCACTAGAATTTTACTTCAATATATTTCAAGTAGATTTATAAAAAAGCCCATTGCAGCCAAGATCATTTGTAGTTAGTATTTAACAGCAATTAATAAAGACCACAAGTTGTTATTAAAAGGGTTCAGATACCTTTCTCAAAGAAAGGTGTATATGATATACTCCATGAGCTAAGAAGACCTATCTCCATCTTTCAAAAGACCTGTATCAATACAACTTTGCCTGTTCTGTCCTAAATTTAAAGATCTCCACATTAGGTTATTCTGTAATTAGCTTAGATAAATTGCTCTGGTGTTTATTGCCAGAAAATCCTGATATGTGCCCTTAAACTTTCTTCAGTTCGAACCACTTCCTTTTGTTCTCTTCCTAATGGGAGCAGATGAATAACTCAGCATGTTCTCTTTCATGAAATGATAACAATAGATATGAGCACCTAATGTGCTGATAAAATAGAATTATTCATTTCCAAATAAAAGCTTATACTCGTTAAAATAATAATGGTGGATAAAACATACCATTTTCTCTTTTGCATTTCAGTAATGATTTTAAATCTATGGGAACTCAAATTTCTAAAATCTCACAGAAACCTCCCAAGGGTCATGTGCTCTTCTTTTTTGGAATGAAACATCAGTATGGCAGCCAAGGGAAATATACTAGAAAACACATGGCAAGTTTCACTTAAACACAGAAATTTACTGTCTATTTCTATTTAATATTCAAAGATAAAACAGGGTATAATAGAAAAGCAAAACACTCAAAATATGTCTTTTTCTTCCAAGTAGCAAAGTTGAAAACTTCATTTTTATAGACTTCTGACCCTGGGTGGAGGCAGGGGGGCGGGGGAGGAGAGAC